CGTGTACCTCTGGTTCTGTGTAGCTATCTATTATTCTCTACCCATTTTTTTAAAATAATTTTTGCTCGAAGTACAAGACGTGGCTTAATCTCAGTTACCTGGCTGGATTTGCTTTGAACAGTTTACTGAGCCTAAAAAAAAACCCAAAACCACAAAGAAAACCCTTCAACATTAAAACCAGGCTCTGAAGTCTGTCATGTCTCATTGAGGAGTTCTGTAGCATGGTATCTTTCTAATCCTGTGCTTGAAGTTCTGGTATAATCTTAAGGAGAGAATGCAGTCTGTTGAAGTTGTCCATACCAATGTGCTAACAAAGTAAACCTTTCCTAAAGTTCTTCTGTTCTAGTACTTCATCCAGATACCTGCGTGTATGATCTAACTCCAACTTGTATATACTTATCGAACTGATTGCCTGTATGATTCCATCAAAACTGTTCATATAGCTCTATTTGTCTGTCATATAAGTCCTTAGAAGTCTCTCTTTAACTCAGTCTTCATAACAATTGTTCAATCAAGAAATAATATAAATTACTAATTGTTTACATACTGCATGTATCAGAAAATAACCTACTAAACATTGGCTAGTGTTGACATAGGTTATTGATTTAAAATTAATGATCTGTTGAAGCTCAGATTACAAAATCCTTTCCTATTTCTGTGACTCTTTCACACAAAGTCAGTAGCTGCAAATCAGAGAAGGTGGCAGTCTAGCAGAGTCTAGTTTGTCCTGCTTACTGCTCTGTCTTCCTTGGAGCCAGTCCTTTTCTCCCTGCTGTGAAACTAGAACAGGTCCAGTAGAACTGGAACTTACTTTTCTGTAAGCTGTGCTCCCTGTGTTGGATACCACTGAAGTAGCCAAGTGATCACTGAGCGTGTGTGTCTGATAGAGTGCCTTCCTGACTTGAAGCAGTGAAGTAATGAGGATGCGTGAATGCTTGTTCTTGAATCAGTCTCCCTTACAATTTTTATAAATGTTTCTAATCTGTGCTATTACACGTGCTTTCTTGCAGGCAGCTGAGTGTGCTGGGAAGCTCTTTGTTTTCCACACCTCTCTGCCCATCGCAGAGGCCCCAGGGAAGTTAAAGAACAGGGATGATAAGAAACTGATTAACACAGACAAGGAGAAGGTAATAATGACTTGCGTGATGCTTATGTTACAGGTCTATATTGTACTCTTTATGGGATAAAATAACTCTGCAGCAACATTAAAAAAATTTCAAGAGTAGTGCGTAATGTAACCATCCCAGCTAATATCTTCTAACATTGCACTTCTGTTCTCAAGCAGAGCTGTGTAGACTTGACATCATAAGGATAGCTCTGGTATGAGAACAAGAAGAGATAGATCTAGATTCTTATACAGGATAAAAAACCATAGCGGGGTCAAGGTAAATGTGCTGAACTTGCAATTAAAGTAAGATGTGTAGTAATTTTCATAATATTCAACAGTTCTTCAAAGGCAGTGGTCAGGAAGAATTTATATGATCCTAATTTCCCTGAAGAGAGACTTAAAAGTATAGAAGTGTATTGCCTGGGATTACAAACTGGATCTCACTTTCCTTTTCTTACTACAGTCTTCTGATCTCATCTCTGACTTCCTTTCTTAGACTTTGTTTCAACCACAGACAAGCTTTTACAACAACTTGGCCAAGGACTGTGTGGCCCAGGGCTGCTGTGTGGATCTGTTCCTATTTCCAAACCAGTATTTGGATGTGGCGACACTAGGTGTAGTAACTTACCAAACGGGAGGCTCCATTTATAAGTATGCGTATTTCCAGGTGAGAGTGACATTGGCTCAGACTGGTGTTTGGTCTAAATAAGAATTACTGTTTAGAGTTCTTTTTCATAGTACTTCTTTGGAAATAAATTGCTACTTAAATTTCAAGATTTTCACCAAAATCATTTTGTTAGCTATATGTCTTTACACAAAATACCTCTATTAATAACAAACAACAACAAGAAAAGCTATACATTGAGTGCTGTGCGATGGCTGATTTTTAGAGTAAGACTGCAGGAGATAGTATCTGGTTTTAAATTACTTTATGCTTTATGAAGCAGCTCTGATTTATGAGAATATGAAACTAAATTATTGCTTGTGTTCTAGCTGGAGACAGACCAGGATAGGTTCCTGAATGACTTGAGAAGAGATGTCCAGAAAGAAGTGGGATTCGATGCTGTAATGAGAGTGCGCACAAGCACAGGTGGGTGTTACCATGAAAAGTCTTAATAAATTGACCACTTCAAGCATGTTGTATGGGAAGTAACAGATTTTTCCCTAATTTAAAGCACCTTGAGATTAGGCTGTGCAAAAAGTTCTGCTAAAGTTTTGAAATTATTTTTGTCGAGACTGAGCAAAGATCCCTCCTGAAATCTGTCAAGATAACTTGTCACCGATGACAGGATTTTCAGGGCTCCAAAGGCTGTCTTATTTTTCTTTTGAAAATCGTGGTTCATGTTGGGGTTTTTCCTTTTTTAGGTATTCGAGCAACTGACTTTTTTGGAGCTTTCTATATGAGCAACACCACTGATGTAGAGATGGCAGGTTTGGACTGTGATAAAACAATCACAGTGGAATTCAAGCATGATGACAAACTGAGTGAAGACAGCGGTGCACTCCTTCAGGTGAGGGGGATTGCTTTCTACGAGAAGTGAGCTGACAATTTGGAATTGTCAGCAAAACTGTCAAGGCAGAACCAAATCTCAACTGGGGAGAGTGCCAGTTGCAGAAGAGGATGAGGTCGCTTTGAACTGATTAGACACTCCTTCAAGGAGCTGTTCGTTTTTTCTTTCTGCCCCTTAATATACCCTTAACCTTTCAACATGTATGTTCTCAGGGTGATCTAGACTGCTTCAAACTACAGTCTGTTTTCCAAGACCAGTTCCGTTAATACAAACTGCTAATATTGCTGGTTATCTTTCATTGAGCCTGATTCTTAGCATATACTTTTACCTTATTGTGCAAGTCTTTTACATAATTACGTTATTATTTTAGGCACCTGAGTCCTAATTTCTAATGAAGTATATTAAAACTCTGCCTTTCTTATTGTAGCAGGACCTAATTTTTCTATATCCTGGCGTTTTTGTCTCCTACAGTGTGCTCTGTTATATACAAGTTGTGCAGGACAGCGACGACTCCGCATTCACAACCTCTCCCTAAACTGTTGCACGCAGCTTGCTGACCTCTATCGAAACTGTGAGACAGACACGCTCATCAATTACTTGGCTAAATATGGTAAGGGTAAATATGGTAACAAGAATTGCAACCTTTAACTGCTTTGAAATGTCCTTTGTCATCCAATGATACCTGTTTATTTTCTTTGCATGGAATGTCAGGTGATAATTCTGATACTTCAGTCATTTATGGGAAAGAGCATAAAGCTATGATAATAGTATTGTCGCTCAGGACAAGACGTACCGATAGAGAGTGTAGGCTTATCCTTCGTACAAATTCTTGTCTAATTTTTTTTAATAGGGGTTTGTATTGACAGATGTGTGAATTCATCCTTGTATTTATTTTTGGACTGTTTTAGTTCATTCTTTAACTGTTCCAGAATTTTGCTCCAGGAATAGGAAATGGTGGCCTTTGCTCATAGATCTGGGTTAAAAATCATACTTTTATGCATTGTACCCTATTCACCCTTTCTAGTTTGCAGTAAAAGCCTACAAATCCAGCAGAGATTTAGAGTTGTGTATGTTTATTGCCTTTAAAATGTAAGAAACGGTCCATTTTCAGTCCATTAAAGAAAGATGGCCAGTCCATGAAAGGAGTTTTTATAGTACCCCATGTTTTCAAGTGTGTTTGAAATACATGGGAGATAGAGAGTTGAAGAATATGTAATAAAACAGTAAATGAACGCCTTCAGATCTTCAGTAGGAATGTATTATCTCTTTCCCACAAGTTTTGAAGGGGAAGGAAAAAGACTTCCAAAAGCAATAGTTGTTTAGATTTACTTTGTGGAAGTAGCATTGGGTTTTTTACTGTTTGTGACCAATCACTTGATAGCTGTCCATCTCTTTCCTCTTTCCTTTGCAGCGTACCGTGGAGTTCTGAGTAGTCCAGTAAAGACTGTACGAGATGCACTGATCAACCAGTGTGCCCAAATCCTAGCTTGCTATCGAAAGAACTGTGCTAGTCCCTCTTCTGCTGGCCAGGTAAACTCTGATGCCTTCACTTGAATCACAGGCTCGGGTATTAGGAGGTGGTGATATCTTCTTTGTACTTAACCTACTCAAAATAAGTCAGTTGCTTTTCTCAGCAGAAATTTGCAAAGAGAATACTTGGAAGTAGAGAGACTGCAAATAAAACTATAGTTGCGAGTGGCTTCTTGGACATCTGTCTGGAGCCCAGAAAGCACTGCCTGCTCCAGCAAAAAGTTCTATGTTATTTTTACATGTCCATGATATAGTTAGACTGTCAGCTTTCACTGCTCACAGCTGTACCACACTTTGTTGGTTCGTGCAAGCCTAGTTTTATCAAACATAAGCTTATTGAGCAAGTCAACTCACTGACTTTTGTCTGCTTGTGACTTGTAGCTGATCCTCCCTGAATGCATGAAGCTGCTTCCTGTGTACTTGAATTGTGTGTTGAAGAGTGACGTTCTTCAGCCTGGTCCAGAGGTCACAACAGATGACCGTGCCTACATTCGTCAGTTAGTCACATCCATGGATGTGGCAGAAACAAATGTTTTCTTTTATCCCAGGCTTTTGCCTCTGGTAAGCAATTCAAGATATTCTTACCACTGAGACTTGCTGTTGTCTTGACTCATTGTAAGGACTGGCATTTCTATTTTAGCAAGGGAAAGCATTTGAGAAGTATTTGGTATCTGCCATCTGTTGGGATACTTCACTTAATTCCACTTGGTGATAGATGCATTACTGCATTTTGTGAATTTGCTGGGGGATTTTTTTTTCTGAGCTGTGAGCGTGTGACTTGTGGCAAAGAGGATGCTTTTGACCCTTTCGTAGTCTTTTGAAAGTCTGAAAGCTTCTTGTAACTTTATGTAATAATTTTCATCATTGCAGGGCAACTCCATGTACTGTTCTGACTTTCAGTACCGTAGTTGCTGGAGTAACGCTAACAACTAATTACGTTTCTACTCTAGGAGACAATATGGGAACTACAGAGTAATGTCATAGCAGCCTTATGTTCTCTTTTGCTAACCAAGAGTCTCTGATCTGCTGCTCTGTCACGTTCAGTAAGAAGACTAAGCTAATGACGATGATACTTCAGTCACAGCTGTTGCAGTATTATGAGTCCTAGAAATGAGAAAACCTTTGGGGTCTTAGTGGCAGAAATTTTCAGGACTTCGAAAGATGTTCTTGTTTTATAACCTTGATTTTATTTTATTTTTTATTTCGCTCTAAAACAGACCAAAGCAGATGTCAACAGTGACTCCTTGCCAGCAGCAATCCGGAACTCAGAGGAACGTCTCTCCAAGGGTGACATATACCTGCTGGAGAATGGGCTGAACATCTTTGTGTGGGTGGGAGTCAACGTGCAGCAAGGCCTGATCCAGAACCTCTTTGGAGTGTCATCCTTCAGTCAGATTAGCAATGCCTTGGTGAGCTGGATGGCAGTGCGGGAGCTAGTGTCTGTGATAGTCACCCAAAACTTAAAACAGTGAGAAAGTAAGTTGAGAAAGTAGTGTTAAATTTTTCATACTAGGAACAAGAGAAGCACAGGTATGTGAAACTAGTGAAACTTGACAGCGTGGCCAGCAGGTCGAGGGAGGTGATTCTCCCCCTCTACTCTGCCCTCATGAGACCTCACCTGGAGTACTGCGTCCAGTTCTGGAGCCCCCAACATAAGAAGGACATGGACCAGTTGGAGAGGGTCCAGAGGAGGGCCACGAAGATGATAAGAGGGCTGGAGCACCTTTCCTATGAGGACAGGCTGAAAGAGTTGGGGCTGTTCAGCCTGGAGAAGAGGAGGCTCCGGGATGACCTTATAGTGGTCTTTCAGTACCTCAAGGGGCCCTACAAGAAAGATGGGGAGAGGCTGTTCAGGAGGGCCTGTTGTGATAGGACAAGGGGTAATGGTTTTAAAATAGAGGGAGGTAGATTCAGATTGGATATTAGGAAAAAATTTTTTACCATGAGAGTTGTAGAATACTGGAACAGGTTGCCCAGAGAGGTGGTGGATGCTCCATCCCTGGAGACACTCAAGGCCAGGTTGGACGAGGCCCTGAGCAACCTGATCTAGTTGGAGATATCCCTGTTCCTTGCAGGGGGGTTGGACTAGATGACCTTTGAAGGTCCCTTCCAGCCCTAATCATTCGATGATTCTATGAAATGTTCCTAGTCTGGGCATGTTGGCCATGCTTTTGCCTAGCTTTATTTGACAAGCCACGTTTCCACTGACAGTGCAGAGAACAGTTGATATGTAAATGGAATGAATAACTGACCTGTAATTCTGTCATGTTACATTCTCTTAACTAGCTGAGGTCAAATAGATTGTATGTTAGTGGGGTTAGATATATCTCTACCCTTAAGTAATGTGATGAAACTGCTGAGTTTTGTTTAATGTTGCTCTACTTTGCATGACTAATGAGCATTGGATATCTTTTATCCCAGAGTGCCCTGCCTGTCTTGGATAACCCCTTTTCAAAGAAAGTACGATCTATTGTTGACATGCTTCAAGTGCAAAGGTCGCGCTACATGAAGGTAAAAATGCTATCCCTCATTTGTAGCTTTAAATCCCCTTCCCTTTTAGCAGAGCAGGTGATGCCTGGTAATACTGCAATGCTGAACTTATTCTTCCCGATCTCATAAATGTGATTCAAACAAAGTTTTCAAGGATCTGAAAAAAATTTTGCTATTAGTTTTGAAGTTCTGTGCTTACCATAGTTCTAAAACTATTTTTTTTCAAATGCCTTGTAATATGCTACTGCACAAACCACATACGTGGTATTTTACTTCTGTTTATAAAGGATTGAGGCTTAACCCAGCTTAGTTGCAGAAGTGAAAACACATAAGCCGTATATGCTGGGATTCTGGTTATCTGTCTTCAGATGTTTGAGCTATTTAGCTTTTTGCTCTTTTTTCCAAGAACATGAATTCTGCTAACTACTCACTGTGGGTTTTGTTCTTCTTTTGGTTTTTTGTAGTTAATAATTGTGAAGCAAGAAGATAAGCTGGAAATGCTGTTCAAACACTTTCTAGTGGAGGACAAGAGCCTGAGTGGAGGGGCTTCATATGTGGACTTCCTGTGTCACATGCACAAGGAGATTCGGCAGCTACTGAGCTAGAGGAGGGAGTGGTGCTGGCGCTCAGCAGTGACATTTCAGTCTCCGCTAATGACCTGATCAGAAGGCCCAGCGCCCTCAAAAAGGACAACGTAGAAATCTGTACAATTCCATAATTTTTAATACACATTGCATAAGCAGAAATCCTTTCAACCTTTCCCAGTCCCGTATGAAAAATTTTCCTGGTGAGGGCTAACAAAAAAAAAAAAAAAGGCCTTTGATACCAGGTCTTTTACTTGTATCTAAATGGTTTCCTGTGCTTGGCAGGAGTTCACCCTCCCACCCCATGCTCGCTAATCCTGTCGTAATGAATGTAGTTTTTTTCAGTTCACTGTACATGATTCAACATTGGGTGAAAAAGCGGTAACTCTTCAAAACTTCTGGTAGTTGCTGTGTGTTTGTATGGGCGCGTGTGCATGCACCAGGCGTGAAGAGGATGTGCAGGTGGGGAGGACAAAAGGCAGGTCAGGTGATGGGAGCTGGAGCAGCCAAACATTTTGTCTCCTTCTCTTAAGAGGAAAACATGATATTGCAGAGCACAGATGTACCGTGTGGCTGTCTGAACCAGAAATCCATGAAAAAGGAAATAACTGGTAAGCCAGGAGGCAGCAGGGCAATTTTCTTTCCACAATCTTCCCAGTTCTACAAGTGGCTGTGCAGATTGTAATGGAGTAAGTCATAGTTCAGTGAGGAACAATCAACGGCTTCTGAACAGCGTAGGGGTAGAGATGATGCTTCCTGTTGGTGTGTGTGATGACTCCTTTCCTTCTCATTGCATGGCTCTGTAATGTCATACTCAATCCACGTTCCATGGCCTCTCCTGCAGAGCTTACCTGTTTATCCAGATGGTGGTGGGAACAAAAGCCTCTTAACCTTTAAGCAGAAAATACTTTTAACAAGGTGACATGGGGCTCTGTAGGAACTGGATGATAAGGAAGCGGCCATTTTCAACCATGTTATTGTGAATTACAGCAAACAAGCAGGAGTTCAAATTATACTGATGCAAATTTGAGACTGCTTTGTACCCTGGAATACAAGGAAGGGGATACAAAAACTAAGATTTAGACTGTACTGTAGTAGATATTGCAAGTACTTGATTTTGGTTATTGAAAGCATCTGGGCCATAGTGAAGAGTTTCATTACTGGATGTTTATACCCTCCCCCATTCTACCTACTGATCAGCTTGCACAAAATCTTTTTATAAGCCTGTTTGTTAAACTAAAATACCTCAGACAGATTAATCCATCCTCTTTGGCCACTCTGCTGCTCTATTCTGCAAGGGTGGATGAGAAGACTCCTGTGAAGAGGGCGTGAGTGTAAAGCAAATTCAGAATTCTAAGGGCTTCACTTATTCACTTTTGAAAGGGGGCTTGTATGTTTTAGCTTGAAGGCTTAACAAGTGTTCTTATGATACCCAGGAGTTTAAGCTACCAATAGCACTAAGAGTGGAAGGAATAATGTGGGTGGATTAGAAAACATATTATTTGGGCTTGATATTTCAGAGGAAAGTCCTTGTTAAGATCAGAAAAATATCTGGCTGTGGTTTTAGTTCCATATCCCATAGCATGTATATAAATCCATTTTTCTTCTAATGCTGCTAGTTTGTCTTCCCTCCCATCACTACACAGAAAGGGGAATATGAAAATTGCAATGGAGAAACTCTTTCAAGATGTACTTGGCAGAACCTTCAGTGTTTTTGTATGAATGTGGCTGACTTTTTACTCCACGTACTGCCTCCAACCAAAAAATCTAGAGGATTTTTAACCAGAGAGGAAAAACAACTTCCCAGGAATATAAGGCGCAGCACCCACAGACTTCCACAAATACTAATTTCTAGTATTAATATTGGGGGGTGTGGGGGGTGGAAATGAAATCATAAATGAACCTTTCATTTTCTTCACTTGTTTTTCCAATGCATCTTTTAATTTGTAAAGAAATAAAAATATATTAAGATGTATTTTATGTCATTGTTAGTAAATAAACACTGCTTATTTTTCCAAACCCTGTATTTTGCAGGCGGGTGGAAATGGGAAGGGCTGAAGTCTAGCCAATTGATCCTTAATGATTCAATCTTCTGCTGACCATGGTCAGTGGTGTTTGTTTTTTTTCTTATTTGCACTGAGTGATGATAAGAATTTCAACCAGAGTCAACAGACAAAAGGTGCTGTTTAATGAGATCAGTGTTACTTTGCTTAGATGATGGGTTTTAAACTTTCTGCCCCTTCTGAACTTTCATTTTACAAAGAGATTTCCATTTTCTCTAATACAGCTTGAGTCAGTTGGTGGAGGTTTTTGGTCTGCTTTGGAACGTATTACCTCTTACCTTGTGACAACGTTAGACTTCTGCAGTCTTCATTTTTCAGGGAAATAGAGCTCCCATTTCAGAGTTAAGATAGCAGGGAAGCTGAGTGGTTTTGGGTTTGTTGGGGTTTTTTGGGGGGGGGAGGGGTGTACTAATTGCAGAAATAAAGTTCAGTGAACTGGCAGTGTAACTTGACTAGCCTAGAACATTGATATTGTACCATTTGCTGTACAGTCTGTATGAAAGCACAAGACAATCGTTGCTAAATATCCAACGATACTTAGTTTGCTGTAGAATATTTTTGAGATTACTCTCCTACAGGATGTTCGTTATGTCCAGAATCTGCTACTGAACTGATCTATTGCGATAATGATGGGCCTTGTGCATCTTGTACATTGATTGTGTGGAGTAAACTGTGCTTGCAGGCATTTTTGTGGCAGCACCGCTTCCGATGCAATGCGTGTGGAATTGCCTTGCTGAGCCCCAGGCTGTTAGCATTCTGTCGTCGTGTAAGTGGAGGAGTTGGTGGGGATGGCGTGGGGTGGTCGTTACTCTGTACTGGCTGTGGTGTGCTTCCAGCTCAGGCCTGAGCAGCATCAAAGGAAAGCAAAAAAATTCCCGTGTTTTAACCTGTTTCTTCTACAGCTAGAGAATATGTGTATGTTTGTGTCCATTCTAACTAATGCCCTATATTATAAATTATTAGTTATGCATGTTGTGATTGGGATTAAGTTATTGCTTAAGGAATGGAGTTGGAGCTGCGGGCAGTTCTGTAACTGACTGGTAGTTCAAGCATACTTCTTGATTTTTAGGGAGTAGCCCAAACTCAGCTTTGCAGATGCCAAGTGTTCGGCGGAGTATTTTAACACTGAAGGAGTTGTTCCAGGTTGGTACAGAGCAACACCTTTAAGGGAACTTTAACCCTACTTGTAGCTATTTTTATTTAGGTACATGCCAGTGTCTAGTTCTGTTACTAAAAGGTGTTTCTGTTCCCTGCTGGTACGGCCGTCAGCAGGAGCCAAACTCGGTGCCCCGTTGGGTACCGGAACCCTTGAGGAGACCGAGTGCCAGGGGCGGGGGGAAGGCGGTGCCGCGGCCGCCTCTGCCCCGCTGGCGGGGA